GACCTATCTTAAATGCCGAGCGGTTCAGATTCTTCATTAGTAAAATGTAAAAATCAGTAAAATATCAATACATACAATACACTGTATTGTATGTATAGAGGCATACAATCCCTCTAGACTGTTAAAGAATACTTGCTCATTAAATGATAAACTTGTCTCAGAAAAGGTCTGGACTTACTGCCAACCATTACTTTTACAGACTTGCCTGTTTTACAGCTATATAGACAGGTGTTTGAGAATATAAGAAATTAAAATAGAAATAGGAAAGCTTTTTAGTCCATTTTGCTAATTAATATGTCAGGGCTCATAAAGAAGAACTCATCGGCTTTCTTCAGTACTGCATCATCTTAAAGAGCTGGGTCAGCAACGATATCTGCAGACAGTCAATACATATTAAAACAGTTCCAAGCAGTAAATCAAAACAAAAAAAAAATGAAGACACAGTAAAAAAGGTAAAATTTATAAGTCCTTTCTGTCTGAATGCTTAGGAGCATTAAACTACTGGTGTAGGTGTCATTTCAGTATGTAAAAAAGGGAAAAAGGAAAGATTCCTTCTTAGGCATAGTGAGTCTGCCTACAGAAAAAATTAGAGCATAATTAAAATAAAAAGTAATGCCAAATTTGATGTCTTTTTCAATTGATTCTAATCTTCCTTCAAAATACTTAAGTCATCTTTTAAAATGGCTTCGATGTTTAAAATATCCACTTGGCTTAATTTTTTTTTTTTGGCCCCTTCATCACTAGGATTCAAATTTTGCCAGAATTCAATTAGTGAGATAGTTCAGGAAAGAGGTGGAAGACAACTTTCTGAGTTTCCAAGACTCTCTAAAATTTTTGATTTTTTCATAAAATAACATAAAGCATTTTGCTCCTCACTTCCCTGATAAAGTCTCACCTTTCCACAGAAAATCATAAGATTATAAATACATAAATCAAATGTGGGAGAAAACCCTACAAGATTATAAATACATAATCAAAACCAAAAGGCAACCTCCTGACTAGAAGAATATATTGCATATCACACAACTGACAAGGGGCTAATTTCCAAAAATTATTAAAAAACCTCATACAATTTAACAACAAAAAAAGCAACAACCCAATCAAAAAAATGGACAAAAGACCTAAACTGATACTTGTCCAAACCACACATTCAGATGGCCTATAGGCACATGCAAAAATCCTCAGCATCACTTAGTATAAGGGAAATGCAGATCAAATTCACAAGATACTACCTCACCCCTGTAAGAATGGTCTATGTCAGAATGACTGGGAACGACAATGTTGGTGAGACAAAGGAACATACAGTATTTAGTGGTAATGCAATTTGATACAATCTCTATGAAAACAGTATGGAGATTCCTCAAAAAAAATTATCCAGCAATACCACTGGTAGGTATTTTTGCGAAGAATATGAAACATTAACATGAAAACATTTGTGCATGCCTATGTTTATAGCAGCCTTATTCACAATAACCAAGTTGTGCTCCTAACCTAAATTTCCATCCAATGAATACTAGAAAAGCAATTGTAGAATGAATTTGAAATACTATGAATAGTATCAATGAAATACTACTCAGTTATTAAAAAAAGATGAAATAGTGTCTTCCTGGGGGGAAATGTATCTTACGGTAATTATGCTAAGTGAAAAAAACCAGAAAGGAAATATTACTGATGGTTTCACTCATTTGCAGAATATAAATAACCAAAGAAAACAAACTGGGGAAGCATTACAGAAAAAATTATCAGACTGTGACAAATACACTGTTAAACAGAGGGGATGGAGGGATGAAGGAGGAAGGACGGGGGAATTGGGGGGAATGTTACAGGGCACTGACCCTGGAGCTTGGGTAGAAAGTGAGCAAGGCATGTGCACATATGGACGTATGGCAATTATATTCCCCAAATTATATAGGCTTGTAAACAATTCTCAAGTCAACAAAATTTGAAAAGAAATTAAAAATAAAAAGTCAAAACAAGATCCAAATAGGTAAATCATTCTGCCATCTTCCTCATCAAAGTATGCAATGCAAGGCACTGCCAAGTGGAAGCCCCTGGGGTGGGCTTTTAGAGCAATCTCAAGAGTATTGGATTTATTCCAGAAGGGATGAAAGTACACTACATTTTGGACCAAAAATGCTAGAAAAATTTATCTTACCTGAGCCTTTAATTTGAATGAGCTCTGAGGAGTCAACCATTTAAAGATTAAGCCAAGGCAACAGGGCCAAAAATACTGTCACAAATTTGGGAGGTGCCCAAGACAGACCAACAGATGGAACTTGGCACAAAATGGCCCTCCACTCACTGAGTAGCTGAGTCAGAAGAAATTTTAACTCAGATGAATTTATTAAAATGTTGAATATCATCCTGAATAAGAGAATGGATGATAGATTTAGGTCGGCACATACAATTGAATTTAATTTCCTGATGGTGGATAGTATGAAACCTACCAACATTTCTATGATAAAAAAAATGGAGAAAGGGAAATACTTTTTCTTTTTAGCAAAAGACATCACATTTTTTTCCTACCTAAATACTCTAGAGGATCAATGTTGGGGCAGGAAAGGTGAAACAAAAAGAAGTTGAATGACTCCTTTTAACATTGGTGAGTCAAGCATGATCATGGAACATTACATGTTATAATCCAAGCTGATACTGAGCCTAGTCAGACCGAAGTGACTTGAGATTGCCTTATATTTGGTGAGTATTTAAAATGATTCTGTAACTGAAAGAGGCTGCTAGAATCAAAAGAACTCTATCCTTTGTTACCACACCAGCCTATCCCCAGCACCAAAGTCCAGCGAGACTTTACTGTACAAAAATGCAGCAATCATAAGGAGTTGCACTATATGTGAGGGCTGTGTTCATGAAGAACACTGTAATTTAAGTGAATTTTCCAAGAGAAATAAACATAAAAAGAGCAAGGGTATATCCTTGGATTATATACGTTTAAAACCTTGGTAGAACATTTTTCTTTAATGTTCCATTGTATTTTCTCAGAACTGTCCCTAAATATTTTACAGGGTGCTCTCATTTAACTTAACTCTAGAGTGTACAATTTTAGAAGATTGCTTAGCCCTTTTCATTGTGTTTTAGCACATGTTACTTTTTTTCTAAAGTTATCAAGTTTCTGGTTATTTTTTAGCGTTTGCACTGCTGCCACAGATGGCCACTGAAAAACTTGATGCCACTGTAATAGGATCTAAGTGTATTTAAAAATAGAAGAATAAGGAATGTTGTAGTAACAGTACATGAGCAACCAAAATCATCTTTAAAACATATGATTATTTAGAACAGTGTGGTTCATATGATATAAAGACTGTTGTACTATTTCTATCAATCAGTTAAAATAAGCCATGTGGAGCTTACAATTAACATGCCTGACAGTTTTAAATTTATGTCACTTTTTGACATTTTCTTTTAATTTGGAAGATTTAAATTTTTATACTTAAGAGTACTTTTTGTTAATATTTTTATATCAAACTATATAAAAACATATCACTTGAATTTACCGAAAATATTACAGTGCTATAGTAAGACAAGTATATTCTCATTTAAAAAGAATAGTGATTTTTTTGTTATTAGCTAACAGTAATTTGTTTGGAAATTAAGTCACATTAGAATAATTTTTGATTTCCTGGAAAACAACAACTTTATTTTTTTCTTGTTTCAGAAACCAAATTGAACATCCTTAAAAAATGCTTCCACATTTTACCTTTGAACCTCCTAGAACATTAAAAATTCTCATTTTCCAATACTACTATGTGTAGAACTAACCATAAGAAGAACCATGAATTAAAGATGAAAATAATACAGGCTAGCCTGAGCTTCCTTAGCCATGAGAACTTCCTTCCAAGGCTCCTAAAAATATTCCTAGTAGTAGAGAATTTAATGGACAAGGAGGATGGGAATAAGCAGTGTGTAGCAATTTATCACTTCCACGGAAAGCTTTTCTTTGACAGTGATCTAACCTCTTAGGCTCTTTATTAGGAAGAGCAGAAAAGAAAAACTCTGAGTTGTGAACCAGCACTTCCCTGCTGTTATCACTAGAGAATCTGGAAAAAGAAGAAAAGAAAAAAAAAATCATAATCTTGCCCTGGAACATGATGGAGGTAATGAGGCATCAAGACCACTTACAGCTGAAAACATAATTGGCACATAAACACAGGAGATGCTTGGTGATGGGAAGATTTCTTTGTTTCAGAAACGGAGGGATGCCAACAAATTGTAACTCTTCTGTTGTTTGGAGCAGCATTTCTAAGAATAAATGAATATTTTCCCCCAAATAATGCACCCCTAGAGGAAAGGGATTATTGAAGTATTTACCAGCTTAGTAGCTTTAAATGTTTTCAACTAATGTGAATAAATGATGAAAGGGCCAAGGAACAAAAGGCAGGTCACTTAGCAATGAAGGAAAAGCTTGAATCTGAGATGTGAAGATATCTACACATGACAGAAAGAGATCTAGGAGGCTCTTAGAGATCCTTGTGAACATTCTAGAGAACCTCTAGGGTGCTCATTCAGGAGTCTGGAGAAAAACAATACAGGCATCTCAGACACAATCCCCTTTGAAGACAGGCAAAAAGACTATTCTTTTTTGAAGAGAAAGAAGCCACCACATCTTTATTCTGAAACTCTTTGTCCTGACACTTTAATGCAAAAATCACCATTAGTAAAAATTTCAAACTTTCTTGGATTTACTTGCATTTTTTGTTGCTGTTCTAAGTGTTCAGCTGGCATATATGTTTAAGATTTTTGGTTTCAAAATTATTTTTTTGAGAACTTTTATTCTTTCCTCTCAAACATTTTGAGTCAGCATACATTATACCACTATACACACAGCCAAGCTATAATTCATCTTTGTGGAAGTCAGAGACATCTCATGTATTAATTAGCAAGCCTTTCAGTGACCAGTGGATGGAAACAGCTTCCAACTGCTACTCAGATAGAGCCAGTGATTTCCAGGAAGGAGAATATTAAGTCAGTTATAAGGAATTTCTTACCAGATCTGCGTCCAGCCAATGAATGGACTTTGCTTTCATCTGGCACTGAGAAGAAATAACAGGAAAGGATCAGATGTGCATGTAAATCAGCAACTTTTTGAGCAACAAATTAATATAGATTCATAATAAGTTAAATCTTTTACTGGCAAAGATCTGAATTTTTTTTCCCTCAGTCTACCTGGGCAGCACATTTCTCTTGGTGGGTATTTTAAAAATAGCTATGAAAAAATACGTGTTCATTAGATCTCCCATGAATATAATTTCATTTTTTCTTTAATTTCTAACAGTTCTTTTAAACTAAAAGGAAAAGCTATTAAAGGAAAAGCTAAACTCAAGGACCTGGATGTATATAAATATATAAATACATATAAATATATAATAAAACTCTGAGCTTAACAGAAATATATAAATTCAATACTCAAAAACAGAACTTCTATTTCTGGACAAAATAGAACAGATTTATAATTAATCCTGAATTTTTTTTTCTAAGTAGACAAAAGATGAGCAAATGGAATTCACGGGTTCAGACAACAAGCAACAAAGGAGGGTGATTCCTGAGAGCTGAAAATAAAATAAGGAGAATCCTACAATTGCTCCAGCTTCCTATCTGGAGAAAGTTTCCCAGCTGTTTCTTGGGCAGTGCAAGGAGAATCAGCAAAGCCCAGGGACATTTCAGCCAGAGGACATGGAACTGGAGTCCACAGAAGCGAAGGCAGATGGAGTTTGTAGAACTCAGAGAGGAGATGTTGATACAGACTTTCTTCTGACATGTGTGAAGGATCCCTCAAGTATTCAGTTATATATTGCTGACCGTGTGGGTATGCGGAAACTACCCAAGACTTGGGAAAGAGACACTCAAAAGTGGAAAGAGAACAGAGTCTGAAGTTAACATAGGGCTGGGACTAGTGGCTGTGTGAATAGTCCTGATAGCCAGAGTGAAAGACTTCATAATTCAGGGTCATCAGGTAGAATTATAGAAGGGCCTTGCTTCAGTCATATTGGAAAAAGTAACCCTAGATTCACATAGCTCTGATGAAATGAATGCATTTTTGAAAGACACAAATGGCCAAAATTTATATAGGGGAAGATCTAGATAATCAGAATAGCACTACAATTTTTAAAAAATGATTTTTTAAAACTACCCAACAAAGAAAACTCTAGCTCCATATGGCTTCACTGGTGAATTCTACCAATTCAATGGGAATCATTTCAGAAAATTCAGAAGAGGGAATATTTCTCAACACATTCGGTGTACCTGGTATTACCCTGCTGTTAATAGCATGCACAGATATTACAGAAAACTATTAGCCAATAACCCTCATGAACCTAGGTGCTCGTTCTTTCTTATTCCTGAAGCTCCTTTGCAAGGATTGTCACTTCAGTATTCAACAATGGCTGTTATTCACCATGCACCTCATTCTCTAGGTCAGGCAATAAATAGCTTAGGGTTGGGGAAACTTGCTAACCAAGGGGCCCTCCTCCACTTCCCCCAACTCTAGATTGGCCTCAAAGTAACATGATTTCCTTGTTCTGCCTACATTTTCAGTCATATTATATTGACCCAGTTACTATCCACAGATCTTTTCACTCCCACCTGTCCTCCTTTTCTATGCTATTTCTATTTTCTAGATAAAAAGCAACTCAATGTCTGCAATTTTGCTACTACTATCAACTGTTTAAAAATCTCGTTATAATTTCCTTCATATCACCCTAGAGGAGATAAATTAATCTGTGCTTTCCAGTCTCCAACTGTGGGCCACATTCTTTTCAGGGTCTAAAAAAACTGATATAGGAATCTATGGAGTAAATAGAAAAGAAGTAAAAATAATGATGGTGTTAGTAGCTAATAGTTATTGAGCACTTAAAATATTCAGGTTCTTTTGTATGTACTTTATGAATAAGAACTCATTTAATCTCATATAATCTCATTTAATCTTTATATCTATCTTGAAAGATAGATATTAGTATCTCCCTATGTTACAGATAAAGAAACTGAGGCACATCTTGTAAGTGGAGAAGCTAGAAATTGAACAAGGCACTCTTAAACACTCTACTATACTTGTGATAAGAGTCCTAGAAGAGTTGTCACATTTTAAAAAATCAACAGCAACATGAATTAAATATAAGAAAACACTTGACTAATAACTATATGCTAGAAGACAATTATCCTTTTTATGTGAATATGAGCTCTTCATGGAAATCATTCTGTGATGACCAATATTAACAAGTTTTAGTTGTAATTTTGTTTATCATATTTGGGGATCTTGCAGTTGTAATGGGTTCCAGCTAAAATATTCATTCTGCTTTCACAGGGAGAAATCATCTGAGTTAAAATCATGACTTGGAAACATATTAAAGTTGTGTTAACTTTCTGTACTCAGTTTTATCACATGTAAAGTGAAGATAATATTGCTCACCCCATAGGTTTGTAGTAAAGATTGCATGTGTAAGTATATACTGAGCATTTAGATAATATAGTAAGTACTTAATAAATATTAGCTATGATCATTATTAGTGAGAAACTACATAGAAACTAATTAATGAGAGCCAATAATGCTTTATCATGCAAGTTACTGAGTTCTTATTAACCTCAGTTTCCCCATGTGAAAAATGAGGATAAAAACACTACACAGGGAGTTGTGGGAACTAAATGGGAAAAGTGTACCAAAGCCCTTAGCACAGTTTCAGGTTCATAATTTTCAATAAATGAAAACTTTTGATAAATGGAAGCTGTCAGAGTGGTAAGGGAGCTGAATTTGATGGCAGTATTTATGGTTTAACTTGTCGGGATCATAAAGGAAGAAAGGAAGGAAATAAGGAGAGAGTGCTATGGTGTGGGCAAGGTGCTGAGTACTTCCAATTGTACTCTCATGGATAATGCAACACCCGCAGCAGACTTTGACACCAGTTTTCTAGACTCCTAGTTTTCTTGTAGTGGAAAGAAGCCAAGGGAAATATGGTACTCAACCTACAAAGTCTTATCACATGCTATGGGGCTTATATGTTTTCTTTCTTTTAAAAAAAAAATTTATCCCATGAAATCTATGCCATTTAGGTACAGCAAATTCTCCAGCCATGCTGAGTTAAACATGATACCTTCTTAACTTTTGGCTGAATACTCCCTGTTATTCTCAGTAAGATACTTATTATTTTAATTGAAAATTTGAAATTCTTTAGAATACTAACAAACTATTTCCAAAAAAGGGTAGAAAATCCAAATGGGTGATAGGCATAAAAATTAGGGGTCTTTCTCCAAAATATTCACTGACACAGATAGATATCTATCTTTGGGACTGAAGATAAATGAATAAACATAATAGGAAAGTAAGAGAACTGTAATGACTTAATTAATAGAATACATTTTATTTAAAAGGTTAAATTGGGAACAATCATCTTTTATGCACGTGCTTAGTGCTGGGAAGTGATTTAAATAACAGTAGCAAATGAGAAAATGAGGTAAAATTACACACACCACCAAGCTTTTTTTTTTTTTAAATGACAAGTGTTATAATTAAGACTCAACTTCCTTTATAACTCACATTACCTTAGAATTACTATATAAAGTTATCTCTTGGGGATGGAGCTTAAATCTAGTTGTTTCACTGCATAATATTTAGATAGCAAAATGATTGGAACGGTAGCAACATGAATATGACAGGTGTTTCACTTTAAACAAAGAAGTTATTTATAAGAAATTGAAAAATGAGCAGGCTGGGTGTGCAAAAGGCCTGCCATTCCAAAGTGGTAAGGTACCAAAGGCATCAAGAAATGGATTATTGATGGAGCATGAATCTGTTTTCTGTTCTGGTTCTGATGACGAATTACTTCCCTTCCTCCCTCCCTCCCGATAAGACTCTATTATATTCCCTTTCTAATCCTTCAGTTTTACCCAAGGGCTGGTATATTTGGGCTCTTGATTACCTTAAAGAGGTACTGTTATTAGCAAGAAAACAATGAAATGTTGAGTCCTTCTGAAGAAATTCATGGACATTTTCATTGTAATTGTTATGAAATACTTAGAGGGCACCATGGACTTGCCCCTCTTGAGATTTCTCTGGATTTATTTAGATAATGGGATTTCTAGCTTAAGATTATCCTTACTGGCATTCAATTCAAGATCAATGGACACTATTTGATCTAATTACTGTAGGGTGCTTCATAAAGAGGGCAGTGTTTGGCTTGAACGTTGTTAATTTCCTGGTGTCCTCTGGTTCATGAAGACTTGCTCAGGAAATAAAGGCCCGGATCCTATGTTTCTTGTTATCTTGGTTGTAGACATTTGAAGTTGTTGAGAACTGTTCAGTGCCCATGATTTCTTTTTTTAAAAGTATGGCTAAACACATGATGCCTTTTGATCGAATTTCAACCAGGTTCATTGTTAGAATTGAGAGAAATGATAAATAAATAAAATATGGGGAAGGGTAATCTGTGAAAAAGATGTCACTCTGAGAACTTATTAGTAGCAAACATTAAAATGCATATGAAACTTACATATATTGGCTTCCCAGTAGGATACATTTATATTAATATAGTGATCACTTGAAGTGCTTTGTTCTTTTGTAAGCTTCTTATATACTTCAAATGCATTCTCACTGGGGGAAAACAATCCCCTCGCTTATTGATAGCATTTGATACGCATTTTATAACGTAAGTGACTATTAGGGACTGTACTTGCTTAATAAAAATTTGCAGAACAGTGGCAGACTTGGTGAGTTAATGGGCCCCATATGCTTTCCTTATGCTGACAGAAGATGGTATATTGCTAGCATGTACAAATCTCTTCAGATAAAAATTGCCACCAGCTACAGTTATTCTTTTTGAGAATACCAACACTATGTCATGAATGGGGAATATGCAAATGTGCTCATATTGCCACTATATCATATTGAGATACTTTGATGCAAAGTAGCATTTCAAAATATGATGCAATGCTCATCTTTTACTTACACAGCTCTGCTTCATTTAATTTTTGACTTCCTTGTCTTTGACATAATAAAGACTGCAGGTTTGAAGGGGATGTTTGGTATGGTGAATGTATCTTCTAC